TATGTGATAACACAGTACATTATGTGATAACACAGTACATTATGTTATAAAACATTACATTATGTGATAACACAGTACATTATGTGATAACACAGTACATTATGTGATTACACGGTACATTATGTGATAACACAGTACACTATGTGATAACACAGTACATTATGTGATAACACGGTACATTATGTGATAACACAGTACATTATGTGATATACGGTACATTATGTAATAACACAGTACATTATGTGATAACACCATACATTATTTGATAACACCATACATTATGTGATAACACAGTACAGTATGTGATAACACAGTACATTATGTGATAACACAGTACATTATGTTATAAAACATTTCATTATGTGATAACACAGTACATTATGTGATAACACAGTAAATTATACGTTAACACAGTACATTATGTGATAAAACAGTACATTATGTGATAAAACAGTACAGTATGTGATAACACGGTACATTATGTGATAACACAGTACACTATGTGATAACACTGTTCATTATGTAATAACACAGTACATTATGTGACACAGTACATTATGTGATAAAACAGTAAATTATGTGATAACACAGTACATTATGTGATATACGGTACATTATGTAATAACACAGTACATTATGTGATAACACCATACATTATGTGATAACACAGTACAGTATGTGATAACACAGTACATTATGTGATAAAAGATTATCGGTAACACGAGCATCAACCTATCAACTGTAGCCGGGCCCCATGTGACCCATTTACCTGTAGGATGGGCATCAACCTTAGCTATTAACTGTAGCCAGGTCCCATGTGACACACTTACCTGTAGGAGGGGCATCAACCTATCAACTGTAACCAGGCCCCATGTGACACACTTACCTGTAGGAAGCGCATCAACCTATCAACTGTAGCCAGGCCCCATGGGAGACACTTACCTGGAGGAGGGGCATCAACCTATCAACTGTAACCAGGCCCCATCTGACACACTTACCTGTAGGAGGGGCATCAACATATCAACTGTAGCCAGGCCCCATGTGACACACTTACCTGTAGGAGGGGTATCAACCTACCAACTGTAGCCAGGCCCCATGTGACACACTTCCCTGTAGGAGGGGCATCAACCTATCAACTGTAGCCAGGCCCCATGTGACACACTTACCTGTAGGAGGGGCATCAACCTATCAACTGTAGCCAGGCCCCATCTGACACACTTACCTGTAGGAGGGGCATCAACCTCCCCATTTGTAGCTGGGCCTCTCCTTCTCCCAAACCATTCTCTGGCTCTGTAAGCAATCAAGAGTTTTGAATAGCGCGTTAATTAGATTTAACATTTTTATAATCAATTTTCAGTATTTTTTTAGATATTCATATTCAAACTATTAGAAAGATGAAATTCATTACAGAAGGCAACATAACAATTTGTTATAATAGTTGTAACTAGATAAAAGTAACAGGTTGTTATCATAAAATCATAAAAGATCTTGTTGTAATTGTGATATTATTCTTTTATTAGATCTAGTCGAACAACGGACATCATCTTACCGCCTTCTCCGTAGAACAGCAAGGCATTATAAAACTTTGTTTGTGCCTCGTGCTGCAGAGCTTGCATCTCACAACATAGTGAGGCCAGCACTGTGATGATCTTGTTGAAGATCTTGTTGTCTGTTTTGATGAGTTGTAGCAGATTAGTTTGTTCATAGGGCAAAAGCTGTAAGACAAGGGACCATTTCATATTACTGTGAATGAGTGTACGTTACAGTAGGATATACTCTCCAGCAATGAAATACACAACTACAATTTCAGTGAAGATATCTGCATTTACTTCAGATATTAAAAAAAATATCCATTGTTAGGGCTAAAAGAGGTATTCAATCTTGAACTCTGGTCTGTCAAATAATTTTAACCTCCAAAATATATTGGAATGTGTTACCTGTGAAGAGAGGTATAAACTTATATATACCTGGTAATAATATTGCCCATACCAACCAGGCGGTTGTAATTACCTGTAAAGCTATAGGGTCAAGGGTCATGTCCCAGGAATCACCAATCGATTCGTCCAAAGCACCCTCAATTTCCTTTAACTGGGAAGCATATTCCTCCAGAAACTGACCATACTTTTTCAGTTGTAACTCTCCCACAATTTCTGTTCAAGGAAAAGAGAAACTGTTAATATATATCCAGGTCATTCATACACATGGAACAGGAAAAATGTAACTGTCAGAATAAGATACAAACCTGGGGCCTGCCAATGCAACTCTACACAGATGCTCTGATCAATTGAGCTACCTGGTCATCGGCAATTGACTCCAAAATCAATCACCATAATCAATGTATATATGCCATGTAGAGGGAAAACTGATTGTGATGAGGAATTCCATGAAACCCTTGACCAACTCTCAGAGATCATCAACATATATAAGCAGGTCCATGACCACAATATCATTGAGGTGTGAGATTTCAACACCAACATAACTAAGGGCCTATCATCAATACAAACAAACGTTTTACAAGCATTCATCATTTTTTCACATTTACCGTGGAAATCTGCACATATTTCAGTACTACTACTGAGATTTTTTAGTACTTCAAATTTGGTTAAGATCATTGTTAAATATGATAATAATACTTAATTCACATAATGCATATAATTTCATATGTAAAAATGTTGGCTACACATATCATTCCCAAATCACTTATAAACTCAAATCCCTTTCACATTTTACCTCTAATCTGCGTTCATACAAACAATTCCATTGGCCAATGAAACAAGGAAACCCAGCCTACCCAGTTGGGCAGCCCCCATCGACGAGGCTTACCAAGTCTTCTACCAGTTAAAAGGAGGGAAGATGGGGGGGGGGGGGGGGGGGGTTGTCACGGGTATAGCGTTACATAAAATAGGTGCTACACGCTATAGTACTAGGGTATTACAAGAATTGTATACAGTGTTATTGTGACAGGAGCAGAAAAATGTATGGCCAGACCGTGGTAAGAACCCGGGACTCTCCGAACTCTAGACAGACGCTCTACCAATTGAGCTACCTGGTTGCCGATGATCGACTCAGTCCAGTTCCGCTACATTATTTATCTGGCTTTTGTCGTTCTTTCTGCAAGTGGTTCACAGTAAAAAGATATTATCATGTTATAGTAACACTCAGGGATCCTGGACCGCTTTCATTTATCGTGTTCAAAACGGTTGAACCGGTTTGACCAGAGCTATTCGTTTAACGAATAGCTCTGGGCTACATTCGCGTATCCGGTTGAAACGGTTGAACTGGTTGAACATGTAAAGAAAACGACAGGTACAGATTTGGACCGAGGCTGACCTCAGGAAAATTTGGTACGTGTAGATTGAGGGGTCCAGACGTACCTGACCGAAACTAAAATACTGACTATTGCCAATTTGCGTTATTTCTTTCTTAAACTATGTCAAGTCACATGTAATTTTTAAGATACATTATGTAATTTAGTGGACGCGTGAGAGAAGGGCATAATACTCTTGATACATTGTTTTTTATTCTCCGAAACTGTGAATTTTTAGCTTTGCTTATAGAACGGTCCAAGTGTGTTCGTTTATCGTGGAAAATTTCTGCGCCACACGTACCGTTTCAACCGGGATACGCGAATGTAGCCCTGGTCAAACCGGTTGAACCGTTTTGAACACGATAAACGAAAGCGGTCCAGGATCCCTGAGTGTTACTGAGGATTACTCAAAATAATCACGTGATCAAAATGAGGTCGGATCTAGTAATCTGATGCTACTATCAGACGAGCCTTGACAAAACCTTGCAAGGCCTGCAGAGACATAACATGATTATAGTTATGTATTGAGCAGTCATACGCTGAACAGTTTACTGCATTCTGACATCGTAACACACATTGATAAAGTCAATGTGTGTGACTGCTGTTATAACTATTGCTGTCCATGACCAATGAGCCTGTCACGTCGTACCTCCTTCTCTTACTTACTCAATGAACCATCATCAAACTTGTCAAACTCCCAGTCCACAGTAGTGGACGCCATTTTGAAAAAACTCCCCGGTCACATGATGACAACACTTCCGTAATGTATTGATCACGTGATTATTTTGAGTATATTTTATTCATTGAATAAATATGAATATTTGGTTCAATTTTGAGGATATTTACTATTTTACCATGATATTTACCATTTTACCACATATATAAAAAAAAATACGTTAAGAACTATATAGGATATTATATTGTGGTGATGTCGATTCTTTTGCATTTGACTAACCAAAATATTCACGTACCTTCACATGGCGTCCGATGTGGTCTAGTGGTTAGGATTTCTGGTTTTCACCCAGACGGCCCGGGTTCAATTCCCGGCATCGGAGCACAATTTTTTTTAACAATTTTGATTTTTTTTCAATCAGAGATGTTCCACTGTTCTTCCTTTTAACTGATGTTGCCTGTTATATTCTTGCATTTTCAACCCCAATTTCATGAACATTTCCCATTTAAATTTGTAAATGACTTTACCTTTTTCCTCCCTTTTCAGTCATTTTTTGCTAAACAAAGAACTTTCTGTAGAAACTTTTGTCAACCTGGAAAACTTGAGAAGTGGAAATAATTATAAAATGTGGTTAAAATTTGCCTACAAGGAACTTGTAAAGAACTGAAAATTTGCCAGTTTATTAGTTATCACTCTGTACCAAAATACCAGGACAGTATTTAAGTCAAGGCCATAAAAGGAATAATGACGTATCTGTACAACACAAAGCAAAGGATTTTTATTAAGTCAGTGTTCCGTTAGTTCTAAAGGTTCGGCAAGGATAGATTCCTAATACTAGTCCAGAACAAAAGGTTATCAACATTCAAACTTTGTCCAGTCATCTTTACTTTGAATATGAATATCTGTACAATTTAACGTTCCGTTGATAATTAAGAAATTGAAAATATTAAAGAGTTGACTGTGGATGACCAAGCTCATGCCTGAAAATGTTTTAACTGCTTGTCTGAAGGATGTAGACACATCCATGGAAAAGATATCAAAATGAGGGGAAGTTCATGCATAAAATAACGTTAAAGAAACGCATGATATTGTTTTGGTATCATTTTGTTCAGATTTGCTTTAAATGAAGGAAAATAAACAATTCTAAATTTATGAATATTATATTTATTTAAAAAAAACAACATGCATTTGCAAATAAATGGATTTCAAAAGTGATGGAATTGTTATAATAACAGGCAATAATATCATATTTACAGACAATAATATCATATATCTATATGTATACAATAAAACTTGCTCAAACGGTTTTCTCATAACCCGATGATAGTTCAAATAGTTTCCAATGCTTGTGATAAATTTTGAGTAAGTTTCCTATTAAATTTGACAAAACAGGTCAAACATTTGTGTTTATAATGTGTATTATACTTATAATACTCCGAGCGTAATAACTGTACAATAATTTAACAATCCAACTGATCAATATCATAGACCATTGCTGTGTAACATTATCAGGATCCCACTTATAGACTCTGCTACATAATACTAGTTTGGAAAGGACATATTTGACTCATTTGATCAGAGTATTTTGGCATGAACACAATGAAAAATTAATTTTATACATATATCTAAATATACATAAAAATATATGTGGACTAGATAGATAGTTCTATGTAGGTTAAACAGATCATCCGACTCTCAAGATCAATACAGCACTAAAATATAATCTTGTCTGACATGTTTAAATTTAATTTACTTCTGTCATTCTCCTTCTTCTTATACTATAAATTTCTGCTAGTATGATGATAAATAATTATTACACAAACCATGGTAGTTGGACCATTTTTTTTTTAAATTCTAGTAGCAAAGTTAACCAGCAATTATATATGTATAGAGCTTCACCATCTTAAAAAGTATTTGCTCTGAGTCTATTAACACATTCACCCCTGAAACTTCATAATGAACTATTCCAACCTTTGAATTGGAAGAGTTCAAATGTGTCTTCAGGGGTGTGTGAGTAAACACAGTGCTATTTTAGAAATAAATTCAAGAGAGAAAACTAAGCTGGCACTAAACACTGAGATAAAGACTTTTAATTAGTCAGGTACACTAAAGAGTGAGGCAAAAATTACTTTTAGATACTAAATACCAGGACAAAAACTTGAAATAATTGTACTACAGCAAGAATTTAGCTGACACTAAACAACATGGTGAAAATTATGCATGAATTATGTTCATCAAATGTGACTAGTTATTTGTAAATATTAAGTGGAGATTCTACAAGACAATAATGAAATACATCTATAAGCAACAATAAAAGATGAAAGAAATGGTATTAATATGAAAACAAAATTGCTAAAAAAAACAAAGAGGAAAAGCACCAATTCATGCAACCCGCAGAGACAAAATTTTGACAAAGATCCAGACTATAATGACTAACTCCCACGCTGTAAGGAGAATGGATCCAGACTATAATGACTAACTCGCATGCTGTAAGGAGAATGGATCCGGACTATAATGCCTACCTCCCACGCTGTAAGGATAATGGATCCAGACTATAATGACTAGCTCCCACGCTGTAAGGAGAATGGATCCGGACTATAAAGACTAACTCCCACGCTGTAAGGATAATGGATCCGGACTATAATGACTCCCTCCCACGCTGTAAGGAGAATGGATCCAGACTATAATGACTAACTATAAGGACTATAATGACTAACTCCCATGCTGTAAGGAGAATGGATCCGGATTATAATGACTAACTATAAGGACTATAATGACTAACTCCCATGCTGTAAGGAGAATGGATCCGGACTATAATGACTACCTCCCACGCTGTAAGGAGAATGGATCCGGACTATAACGACTAACTCCCACGCTGTAAGGAAAATGGATCCGGACTATAATGACTAACTCCCACTCTGTAAGGAGAATGGATCCGGACTATAATGACTACCTCCCACGCTGTAAGGATAATGGATCCAGACTATAATGACTAACTCCCACGCTGTAAGCAGAATGGGTCCGGACTATAAAGACTAACTCCCACGCTGTAAGCAGAAAGGATCCGGACTATAATGACTAACTCCCATGCAGTAAGGAGAATGGATCCAGACTATAATGACTAACTCCCACTCTGTAAGGAGAGTGGATCCGGACTATAATGACTACCTCCCGCGCTGTAAGGAGAATGGATCCGGACTACAACGACTAACTCCCACGCTGTAAGGAAAATGGATGCGGACTATAACGACTAACTCCCACGCTGTAAGGAAAATGGATGCGGACTATAACGACTAACTCCCACGCTGTAAGGAGAATCGATCCGGACTATAATGACTAACTATAAGGACTATAATGACTAACTCCCACTCTGTAAGGAGAATGGCTCCGGACTATAACGACTAACTCCCACGCTTTAAGGAGAATGGATCCGGACTATAACGCCTAACTCCCACGCTGTAAGGAGAACGGATCCAGACTATAATGACTAACTATAAGGACTATAATGACTAACTCCCATGCTGTAAGGAGAATGGATCCGGATTATAATGACTAACTATAAGGACTATAATGACTAACTCCCATGCTGGAAGGAGAATGGATCCGGACTATAATGACTAACTCCCATGCAGTAAGGAGAATGGATCCAGACTATAATGACTAACTATAAGGCCTATAATGACTAACTCCCATGCTGTAAGGAGAATCGATCCGGACTATAATGACTAACTATAAGGACTATAATGACTAACTCCCATGCTGGAAGGAGAATGGATCCGGACTATAATGACTTCCTCCCCCGCTGTAAGGAGAATGGATCCGGACTAGAAGGGCTAACTCCCACGCTGTAAGGAGAATGGTTCCGGTCTATAAAGACTAACTCCCCCGCTGTAAGGAGAATGGATCCGGACTATAAAGACTAACTCCCAAGCTGTAAGGAGAATGGATCCGGACTATTATGACTAACTATAAGGACTATAATGACTAACTCCCATGCTGTATGGAGAATGGATCCGGACTATAATGACTACCTCCCACGCTGTAAGGATAATGGATCCAGACTATAATGACTAACTATAAGGCCTATAATGACTAACTCCCATGCTGTAAGGAGAATGGATCCGGACTATTATGACTAACTATAAGGACTATAATGACTAACTCCCACTCTGTAAGGAGAGTGGATCCGGACTATAATGACTACCTCCCACGCTGTAAGGAGAATGGCTCCGGACTATAACGACTAACTCCCACGCTGTAAGGAAAATGGATGCGGACTATAACGACTAACTCCCACGCTTTAAGGAGAATGGATCCGGACTATAACGACTAACTTCCACGCTGTAAGGAGAATGGATCCGGATTATAATGACTAACTATAAGGACTATAATGACTAACTCCCACGCTGTAAGCAGAATGGGTCCGGACTATAAAGACTAACTCCCACGCTGTAAGGAAAATGGATGCGGACTATAACGACTAACTCCCACGCTGTAAGGAAAATGGATCCGGACTATAACGACTAACTCCTACGCTGTAAGGAGAATGGATCCGGACTATAATGACTAACTCCCACGCTGTAAGCAGAATGGATCCGGACTATAAAGACTAACTCCCACGCTGTAAGCAGAACGGATCCGGACTATAATGACTAACTCCCATGCTGTAAGGAGAATGGATCCGGACTATAATGACTAACTCCCACGCAGTAAGGAGAATGTCAAGTCAAAAGGACATGTTTACTAGTTATTAACATGATTTGTAAATCTGAATAAAGTCTGTTACCAGATGCTTCAAAAAACCTGTACATTGCTGGAGAATGTATGCTGTCAATCCCCAACATATTACAGCACCTGTTTTGATATCAAATAGAACACATTGGTGGCATTTCAGATGATATTTTTTTTTTATATAAATTTGTTGAATAAAAATTACAAAGCTGAAACAGTTATAGAAAACAACATTCAACAAACAAAAAAATAATAAAATGCCAAAAATATGAATTAAGCACCAAGATATCTTTTTGAAGTGATATAAAACGACAGATCAGTGACAGGCTGTGACAAACCTCATACACGTCTTACTTCACTCTCTATCATATGTTCATGATTCAATAATTATCCTGCTCATACTGTGCATTCATGTGGTGTAAATTGACAATATGAAATATTTCACAGGTTATAAAGTCAAATATGCAAAATGCTAAACATATACCTCGCTATCAGTAAGTTAAATCACCTGAAGCACAACCAGTAGATATATAAATGAAAACATACAAATATAGAGTGATTTGTATTACATTAAGGTGTGTTAGGGTGTACATCACTGAACACATCCAATGTACTTTGTTATAAAAAAAAACATCTCATCTAAACATATCCATTATACATATTTAATTGGGAAGTTAAATGCTTCAACAGTTCCTGTAATGTCTAATACAAAACGTTCTAGCGGTATCTTGGCCATTCTTTAGTCAGCAGGTCTAAATTGTAACTTTAAAATTTGTTAGTCACATCCCCTAATATAAAGAAATGGAACCCTTTGACAAATTTATAATTTGGGAAAAAAAGTGGGTAGACTACTTTAGACCTAGGAATACACAAATTTATTTCAACAAAACTGTCGTAATCTATAAATGATCTCGGTTAGTAGTAGCAAGGCTTGACTAGACATTGTACCAGACATAAGATAGGAATAATCTCAAACCAAACAAATTTACCTAGAAAAGAAAACTTTACCTTGGTAAAGCAAGTTCATCTAAGAGGTAATGGGTAATACAAATGGAATACTAATGAATATATAAGGTGAAGTAACCCTGTTAATTGTATATTTGTGTAGATATGTATACAATAAATATATAAGGTGGTAACCCTGTTATTGTAAATATGAACATTTCAATACTATACTTCTGTCTGGTATTGTACATAAATAAAACATTAATCTCATCAGAATCTCATCCTCAGTACGGTACAGTACACAGTGTATATGTATATCTGAAAACACACACTAACAAAACACAAATAAGTCGACCAGAAATAAATAGGGGACAATATCTGTGAACAAAAGGATTGATTGTTTTAAGTCATATGGGACTAGAATGTCATCTGCATTAGTAACATAAATTAACGATATGAAGTTACCTTCAACAAAAGAGACACATTTTAGTTTAATTAGTAGCTTGACCTGAAGCATTATCATCACAGACTAGAAAACCAAAACAATCTGTATTCATGTAAGTAACAAAATATTTCTGCTTCTGCTTTTCACATTAAATGTATAATGTTACATTCTGTTACCCTTTGATATATATATTGTTACCCTCTGTTGTATATACTGTTACCCTTTGATGTATATATTGTTACCCTCTGTTGTATATACTGTTACCCTTTGATGTATATATTGTTACCCTCTGTTGTATATACTGTTACCCTTTGATGTATA